CTCCTTAAATTATACTAGTAACATTTTAAAGAGTCCTATTTCTAAGCCATTAGACTTGCCTATATTTTTAAAAATAATTGTTTTAATATATCTTATAAAATAGGAACAATAAATTACCATTTGTAAGGCATATTCTGTTTCAAAAGTATGCTTACAGGTTGACATGGAGAGAGAAATTTATGAAGTTCAAAGATGAAGTTTTTAGATCATTTATGCTGCCATAGTTTTTGTTTTTTTTCTTTCCCGTAATAGCAAAAATAAAACTTTCTATATTTCTTTGAATAAAGAGTACTTTCAATTACTACTCCAAATGGAAATACCATTTACAAGAAAGAATATGGACACTTATAAATGTTCTTCAAGGTTTTATATTTTTAACTTTAAGAAGAAACTTTGAAGATCTACACTATGTTACATTGTTTCAAAATATACCATAAGCATAGTCATTGAAAAATTATCTAATGTGCAGTTGGTTTTACAATGTTTCCCTTAATCGAAGAACAATTTTATAATTAACATTTTTAACATCCTGTCATCTCCCTTGATGATAGAGGCTTTTCTATATAATATATATGAAATATATATAATATATATGAAATATCCTATTAATGCTTGCTTTGAAAAGCAAAGATAAGCCAAATCAAATGGTAACTTTAGAAACCTCAGCTCCAGTATGTCACTCAGCTTTGGAAACACACTTGAAGAGAATTTTGCTTTGGCTATATATTCCCAAATATCTTGTATTATAAAATATAGATGTATATTTTACTCTGCCCTTCTGCTTAAGGAGATATTTGTGTCCCTGGACTCACATTACTTTTAGAAAGTATTTGAAAAGCCACATTCGATCAACAAGAGATTAAGGATAATAAATAAATACAAATTTCAAAACACTATGTGTGAATTCTGCCATGTGGAATAAAACACAGCTCTCGTGATGTCCTATGTAAATTTATGGCTTTTTTTTTAAGTTTCAAATGTTTTCATAAAGGGCTGACCTACAAAAACGTCTATGTTTCTGTTTTTGGTAACAGCTCCTTTGGTATTAGCACAAGTATACCTAGGTTGATGGTTGACTATAGAGTTTTTTCCTAGTAATTGACACTATGTTTTATGCCAAGAGGAGATTTTTAAAAAATATTTTTCCATTTTATTCAGGACCAGCATCTTTCAATCTCTTCTATTATCTTTGTTGTTATAAAGACTTTAATAATAGCTTCCTGGATGTTGGCGTTTCTAGAAGCTAGGGAGGTTTGGAGTGGCATCATTCACTGAAAATATCACTCACCTACACATGAAAGGTCTGCAGAGTTGCAAAACTTAGGATTTTATGATCACCAAGCAGAATTCAGAAAGGTGCTGCACACAATGTTCTGAGTGATGAAACAAACAATACTTACGTAGTTTTATGCATAGCTCAACAGAAGAATATAGATGGTGTAAATTTCATGTCAAATTCTATTTCGCCAACAATTTCATCATGTAAAGCTATCAGATGATTTTTAAAGTGTAACAAAGACTACATTTTATTAACTCCATATATAAATCTATTAAAATTTAATTTGCTAATTAAATGTTAATGGTTCCAAGGCTGGAGACCATATTTTAATGCAGAGATCAAAATGGGCTGCCAACTCACCTTTGTGACCCCCAAAACTGAGCTCCCATGGCAGATTAACTGCCAAGAAGCTGGGCACAGCTGGAAATGACCTTCACTTTATCTTTCTTCAATAATTTCCTTAGGTCATAGGGCCTGTTTAGTGTCTTGCTTTGTGGATTAGCTGGTAAATTGGACATTTTCAATGTTTTTGGCCACCTTTAAATCATATTACTATACTGGCACCTCAGCATAGTAATTATTGACTTTTTTTTTCCTGCTTGACCTACTATTATCTGGGAGTCTGAAATCCTGTTTTCACAGGAAGTATATTGACCTCATGGTTACAGTCATTTTATTATATAGAGGACATAAACATGGCCATACAAATCAGCTTCTCAATATTGAAGTACCTAGTTTTTAAAAAATTTGACATTTAGACCTGCGAGTGACTACTGATAGCTTTGTTCAAATTTGAACATCTTTATATTTTAATCTGATTATGCATTCATGAACAGATGGACAATAGAGTAGAACACTTGAAAGTGGGAGCCCTAGGATCAGGCAGCTCCCAGCCAGGGGGTCCTGTTGTCTGCTACCTTGTATAGTAGGGTCAAGCATTTCAGTCCTTCCATATTCCCCCAATTCTTTTGTAAAATGGTAATGATAATCACACTTTCTTCACAGAGCCAGTTTGCAGACATAAATTGGACCGCTGGGCAATTTTTGATAAAAAATAGTTAATATCATTAGATGAGCAATTCCCTCTAGCTTCACAGCTAGGAATCTGTCCTCTGCAGGTGTCAGGAACTGCTGTAGATGGTGGAGCCAGTGTTACTGACTGCAGTAACACTGTTCTCTAGGTACTCTTTTGCACCACTAAAGTAAAAGTAAAAAATTGTGAATATATGTTACTCCTGTTAGTACTGATAAAAAAAAAAAAAAAAAAACGTTTGAACCCTAGAGGGGAGAATGCGCAGGTCAAGCATACAGAGATTGTTCAGACACTGTTAAATTGATAAATGCGATGTGAACTACAAAGTGTAGTGTGTATGCCTATGTTCTGCCAAGTTCATAACAAAGTAGTAGGACTCAGAAAAAAAAAAAAAAACATGTGCATATTCCTAAAACCTGTGCCCTCATCATGAACCATAACCTTCCTAATGACAATATTGGTAATTATTAACTACCAATAAATTATTAGTGCTGTAAACCTAATATTCTACATTGGTATAAAAAGATAAGACAATGTGAGAGCATGATATACAGGCCAGCTTATGTAATGAGATACAAAAATGTGGAAGATAAACAGCATATTCTACTGGAGTAAACATTCAATGAGAACCGAAAATGGCCAAATTACAAATACACAGCCATTTGTTTATCATGGTTAATGTAGGTCTAAGTTAAGATTTTCTGAACAGTCTTGTCAGAATTTGTACACACCCAGATAATTATATTTTGTCAGAACTGAGTCGTTACACATTGTATTTTTTAAGAGACTGGACACATATCAGTTACATATTTTCTCTTAAATATTTCTTTAATTTTTTTAATTTTAATTTTTGTCAGTCATGGGGCTCAAACTCTGGGCCTGGGCACTGCCCTCAGCTCTTCAGCTGAAGTCAAGAGCTCTAGCACTTGAGCCACAGCACCACTTCCAGTTTTCTGAGTGGTTTATTGGAGATAAGGGTTCCACGGACTTTCCTTCCCAGGCTGGCGTTGAACCACGATCCTCAGATTGTGAGTAGCTAGGATTATAGGCGTAAGCCATTGGTGCCTGGATTAACTATATTTTTATTTTCTGTAGAAGACTTTCAGAGAATAAAGTGGGCACTTCTCAGCTCAGCTATTATCTCAAGATTTGTGAAGCACACCCACTTAAACATCTTAATGAACATATTTTGTGAAAAATACTTTACACCGTTTGTGTATATGGCACATAATTGAATAAGCACTGACTGGAATTGTATCAGACTGACTGACAGAAATGGCATGCATCATAGACATTCAATTAAGCCTTTATTGTTTTTGGTTCTGGTTCTCCTCTTATGGAAGCATCATATGCGTTTTCTGGCCTTCAGTGGTTTTGGCTTGTGGAAATCTCACTGGTTAAGAGCCAACTGTGTAAAACTATGCTGGCTAAGCTTGCAATTCCTACATTCCTGATTATATCAGGTAATCAGAAAGGGATGTAGGGTTACTACTAGTTTTTTTTTTTTTTTACTTTTCAGTTCATGTCACCTACAACAGGCTTTTGCTAAAGTGAGTTTATCAACAACATATTGCTTTCACATCCTTGGTATAATTTTCTCTTTATTTATTTGATTGTTCATTTGTTTTCTGTTCTAAGGAAGGCAGGACTGGTTCTATTTTCTGGTTTACTGATACTTACGTTGTACAATTTGTCAATGTATATTCCACATGCAATCTTTTAAATGGCTATTATAAGAAAAAAACATAATTTATTTTACTTAATAGCAGAACATATAACATTCATCTAATTTTCCTCTGAGTTACAAGTGATGTGTGAAATAACCCACTATATAGTGTTTTCAGTACACTAGGTTTAGCAAATTACTTTTACTTACAGATTTGGATGTCTTTTCAAATCCGATCCTTTATCAGTCATTAATGTTAGTATGATTATTTATTTTTATATTTAGTAATTATCTCCTTTCCTGTGTAGTTTGATCCTTCAATTCTATAATGGACAATTTTACAATTATTCAATTTTCTTTCCAAAATCATTGGTTGCCAATTTTGGCTATTCCGTTCCTCTCAAGTGATATCTTTAAATGTTTAGCTGTTTGGGCTTTCATACTTGAGGATGGAGTAAATAAGTATTATACTATTTTTACATATACCAGTAAATCCCCAGAATAAATGGTGTCTACTCAAATTCTCAATAGTTCTGTTCTAAAAATCCTCATCTATCATATGAATTTGATTACAGAAATGTTCTCTGTTCTTTCCTTAAAATATTTAATAAATTTATACATATATATTATTTATATTCATAATATAAATTTTGTTTCATTGTTATTGATGATTTTTAAGTCTATAATTATTTATTTAACTCAAGTTATGTCAAGTTGAGTAGAAGTGAAAATTTAGCATACTATTGGAAAATCTGTCATGTTGAGTGGTTAGTACATATCACAAATATTTCACAATTATCAGGAAGTTTACAAATTCAGTCTCTTTGTTTTCTGTCTTATAGGTCCCTTTAGATGGCAAATAATAAAGCAGAAGCCTCAAAACTGCTAATGCCTGAATTACCATCTCTTCATTAAAACTCAAAGCTAAGTGGTGAAGGCCACAGGCGCTGAAATCCTGGATTCCACAATTCTGCGTTAAGTACTGAGGTTTTCATTACTCAGCGACAGGAAAGCCTTTGCCAATGCTTACAAGGAACTGTTTATCCCTGCTTCTCTGGGTCCTGTTTGATGGTGGTCTCCTCACACCACTTCAACCACAGCCACAGCAGACTTTAGCCACAAAACCAAGAGAAAATGAAGTTCACCTGCCAGGGCGACAGTCACATTTCCAACGAGTTAAACGTGGCTGGGTGTGGAATCAGTTCTTTGTTCTGGAAGAATACATGGGCTCCGAACCTCAGTATGTGGGAAAGGTAATGACGTGTTTCTTTTGAAAACCAGTTGATAGGAAGTGGTGCTGTAGCTCAAGTGGTAGAGCGCTAGCCTTGAGCTGAAGAGCTGAGGGACAGCGCTCAGGCCCAGAGTTCAAAGCCCATGACCGACAACAAAACAAGCAAATAAACAAAAAAAAGAAATCTAATTGATAGCAAGGGGGAATATAAATTGGGTGATTGTATAAGGATATAGTGCACAGGAGTTGAACAAACCAGTCACTAGACCACTGGGATTTCTAGTCAAGACACCTGGTTTGTCATTCTGACTCCATGACCTAGGTAAGCTTTGGGATAGATCACATTCCTTTTTGTGCTTCTTAAGTATTTTTAATGGATATATATTATATATATCCTTGAAATTCTTCATTGAAGTCATGAAGTTAAAATATGATATATGATATGATGCACGTTATGACTTACAGTGGTCAGACAGAAAGAAGTAGGAACTAGCATAAATATCCTAAATTGATATTGGTGTTTCTGAGGATATTGATTCTTAAATTGTCCTGGTATTCATAATGTGTCCTTCCCCTTTTCTGTTTAAAACATTACAAACCACAAGTATCATGTTTCTAAAGTGATCCATTTGGTGTTCTTAAAACTTCATAAGTTGGGTGGGGATGGCTCTTGCCTGTAATTCTATCTACTCAGGAGGATAGCAGTTCAAAGCCATCCTGGGCAGGAAAATCCATGAAACTGTTATGTCTAATAAACAACTAAAAAACAAGAAGTGGTATTATGGCTCAAGAGATAGAGCATTAGCCTTTTGCTAAAGATCTGAGGGACAGCACCCAGGCCCAGAGTTTGAGCCCCACAACTGACAAACTAAAGATAACAAAAACAAACAAACAAAATGAAAACAGATAAAGCCTTCATTAACCACTGTCACATGATATGTTTACAAGGCACTTCTGCACTTGCTTATGGTCAAAGAAATGATGATTAGAACAGAAATATCTAACAGTTCATAGAAATATGTTGTTTTCATGAAGCAAACATAGGGTTCAATTCTCACATTCGTGAGAATTTACAAAGACAGAAAGAAAGTATAACATAACATAAAGTCTATTTGGGCATTACTGTTAGAAGATAATGACTCTTGGTTATTGCATCCTCTGACCTTTTCTCAATAATCAAGGGAACTGCAATGGGTATTGCTCACGTGTTGTCAAAGAAAACATTCATATCCAAGTCCTAAGTTATTTGTGCTTTATTTTTGCAATCAGTGGTAGGGTCCTCTATGTAAACTTTATTGAATAGTACAGGGGAGACATTATTTCAATATTTTTTAATGAACTTGAATCAAAGGGTGCAGCTAAGATATGTAAATTCTAGGCAAATATTTGGAGGGTATTGATATATACTATAAATATCAACGTGCCAAAATCAGTCTATGAGTACTATATTGGCTGTCAAAATTCCAACAACCATATAATAACAATAGTGATTAATATGTTATTAAATAGGATCAATCTCCTAAACTGTATCTGGACTTTCAAGGCCCTGAGAGAACACCATGAGCATAATCCTTGAAATTCAACACAGCACCAAGGAGTCAAAGGCCCAATGGTAATTCAGAGCACTCAAAGAAATAGACACTGGCTAACAATTGGTGCCAAGAGAGTACGAATTTCAGTTACACTGCCCTCCTCAGATTACACAGCTATGAAAAAATACCCCAGGAATAAGAAGAGTCCTCAACAATTTTGAGGAATATGTCCTAAAATTTGAAATTATCTAAGGTTATTGAACAATGTTTTTGTTATATGATGCTTTAATATGGTGATAGAATGTTACAACTACTGAAGTAAATTTTAGGCAAAAGTAATTATATAGTGTTGGTACACTCATGTGTATTTAACTTGATACAAAATGGAATTTTACAGTCAGATACAAATGAACAGAGGCTTAATGTTCTATTTCATTGACTTGAGTGCCTTCACCAGTACTTCTGATAGCAGGCCCTGGAAAATACCTATGGAAAAAGGATCCTCTCCTTCTGCCTTTATTAAAACCAAGGATTTTATTAATCAGAATTGGAGTGTTAAGGTCAACGTTTTTGTAACGTAAAGTACATATTACATTTGTTGTAGTTAGAGAAATGCTTTACCTTTCATTTGAGGTAAAAAGGAATTTAGAAAACATCAGAAAAGTCTCTTCTTTGATCCTGTGATAGTGTGTGAGTTCATTGAAAACATAAATTGCTCAATTAAATGATTAAAATGTAGTAGCTCTACTATCTAATCCATTACTATATGTAAGCAGCATTGTTTTGGTAGGTTGATATGATTCCACAATTGTAAGTATTAATCCCTAGGATTCTCATGAGAATATATTTCTAATTCAAATGAAATATCACTTATCCAGAATTTCTCTTTACAGAGAAACTAATTAAACTTTAATTAACTCCATGTTTGTGATTCTACATTGGAAAGAGAAATATAATATTATGGAGAGTAATCCAAGATATTATATATATATATATATATATGTGCAAACAAACATGGATATTTGTATTTTTGCACCTTCTGGAAAGATTTTGAGTCAGATCATAGAAATAAAAGCTATTATAATTAACGCAGAGGTCATTGCTAATGAGAACGAAAATACTGCAGATCTAAGAACAGTGCCTAACTCTATAACCACTGAGCCTCCAATTTGATTTTCTGATTTTTAAGAAAATGTATATAGGAAAATATAACCACAATGTTTCTTATTAGTTGACACTCTATTTGTTTAAATAAACGGAGCTTCATTTATCCAACTCTAAAGAATATCCTCATGTAGAAATTCAGAGACAAAAATTTAAGTGGCTAAATGAATAGGAGCCTTACTAATGGATTTATTTAAAGATACATATATTCATGTTGACATGTACTCAAGAGAGATGGAAATGCAAAATTAGTTTAATGAATATAAAGTTAATTGCAATATAAAGAAATTACAACTATATACAAAGCAAATCCAGAGCTTTTCTCAGATAAAAGTGTTGGTTTTACTCTAATATCAAGACAAGTACATACTTTCACACTGTAGAGTAAGAGATTAAATTTTCTGCTATACTTTTTTATATTTTTTGTAAAAATGCTGTAAACAGGGGTTACGGTTACATGAGTAAGGTAATGAGTACATTTCTTATCAAGCATTGTTATCCACTCCTGTTTTTCTCCTACAATACCTTCCTTCCTCACCTCCCCACTCCTCCCCCTCCCCCCAAAGTTGTAAAGTTCATTTTTAACATTGTGTCTTTTGAGTATCCTTGTTACAGTGGATTATCTTGTGTTCTTGTTTCAGGTTTTTGTTATTCCCCTTCCCCTCCTCAAATTATATATCAAAATCAAGTACAGTGACAACAGGGGATATACCATAGGGGGAAGAACATACAATAGAAACACAAAAAAGTACATTAACAACAACACTAACAAAGAAAAAAATCCTGTGTCAATATCTTGGGGTTCATTTCACGTAGCATTATTTTGTATGGTGATATGTACATAGTTTTGAGCTTTTCTGCTCCTCTGTTAAGATTATCCCAGACATATGTTAATTATTGAAAATAAGGGAATCCATGGGACCTGCATTTTCTTGGGTCTAGCTTACTTCACTTAATGTGATTTCTTCCCCAAGTCTTTCCATTTCCTAACAAAAGAGGTGGTATCATTCTTTCTGATGGAAGCATAGACTTCATATGTATGTAATCAAAGATAATCTACTTGCTACCTAGGAGCTAGCTGGTCACCTTAGTGTGTAACCGAGTCACTGACCTTAGTGTGTAACCGAGTCACTGTTCATTTATATTACTGCAATAGTAGCTCATGAGGACTGGAAATATCCAGGTCAGTTTTGGCAAGTAAATCTATGTTGCTGGTCCACGCAACATCTCCATTCCCACTACGAAGACCATTTTGTTTCTGAGCCCATTGGATTCTAACAAGGAAGGAAAAGAAAAACTGGTCATGTTGTTCACTTGTTCATTTAAAATAGACATTTAATAATTCAACCTCTTGTGGAATTTCTCATAGGAGAAACATACCTTCACATTTTTATTCTTTAATGGTCTTCCTGTGAATCAAACAAACCTCTTTCCCAGAATTCTTTGTCATGTACCTGCTCACTTTCTTTTTTCTTTTTGTTTTTTTGGGTCCGGTCGTGGGGCTTGAACTCTGGGCCTGGGCACTGTCCCTCAGCTCTTCAGTTCAAGGCTAGCGCTCTACCACTGGAGCCACAGCACCACTTCCCGCTTTTTTCTTTTTGCTTATGTGGTGCTGAGGAATCTAACCCAGGGCCTCAGGCATGCAAGGCAAGCACTCTACCACTGAGCCACCTTCCCAGCCCCAACTGCTCATTTTCTTAATATTAGTCAATGACTGGCCTTAATCAGTGAATTAATAAATTATTTCCTTATGTTACTCATTTACATTTCTAAGCAAAATGGGAAAAAATAGGTGAACATTTTGATGTGTGCCCACTTGAAGAAATTGCCCTAGCCACCAACATTCATTGCTTTCCTAGAAAGGTGGCAATGTGCTGCTGTTAAAATCCAGGTGAGGCTTGTATATTATTAAGATTCTTCTATAGACTGCTCAAGAAGCTTGAGATGTTCCTCATCTGATCACAAGGGGGGGAAAGCCCATTTAGATGGTAGGTTTAAGCCAGAATAGACATAAGTGCATTTCTTTCCATGTAATTTATGTATTTCTATTTCTTTTGGACTGGCTTATGCTCAATTTCACATATGTCACCTTTATTTAATTATGAGGAAGTGATATATATATATATGTATATATATATATGTATATATATATATATATATACAATTCTTTGACTCACTTGGTCAATATCAGATATTTTGTGATTTCTCAAATCACATAACTTGCTGTATCATGGTTAAACATCCAATCTTTCATAAGACCCACTTGCAAATCACAACCTGTGTGTCAGTAATAGAGGAGGTATGTGTAGATCTTATGAGGGTTTCG